ATTGCAGATTTAGGACTATCAACCCCGGCTAATAAAGAATCTAATACTACTTATGGAATTATACCATATATGGCTCCGGAAAGTTTTTGTAATAAATCATTGACAACAGCAGCTGACATCTACTCGTTTGGTATTATTATGTGGGAAATTTCATCTGGAAAAGTTGCGCATTATGACCGAGAAGAATTTAAAGAATCTCTTGTTCAAGAAATATGAGAGGTCTTCGTCCGAAATTTGCAAAAGAAACACCGGACATTTATGTTGAGTTGGCAGGCCAATGCATGAATGCGGATGCATCTAAACGTCCTTCAGCAAATGATCTTATACAAATTTTATGCGTGCTAACACAAGAGCACTGTATAAATATTTTCAAAAAAGCTGATTTTAAATATAAAAAAAATATTTAATGAGTCTGAATCTTCAAAAAACGTTGATATAATCACCTCACGTAGAATATATAAATTAATACATTCAAATCATCCAAAACCTATAAACTCAACAGATATTCCAGAATTCGACTTAGATAAATATAAATCTAGAATTTCACAGAAACGTTGTGAATTATTTGATGAATCAGATTATAATTCATATGAGAAAACTACTGGAAACATTAATAAGATTGAGAAAGCAGAGATAAATGTCACGGACCATAATGAACTTGTATTAAAATGAAATGAGGGTTTTATAGAATATTTTTGTTTTTAATTAAAAAGAATAAACAAATATTAAAAATATAATATAGTATTTTTATTAGATATTAGTTATAATACTTATAAGAAATAATATATTTATAGCTATGGCTACTACAGCCATATTATATAAAAGTTAATCAAATTTAAAAATTAGTTATAATATAACACAATTAGAAAAATTCAAACCAAATATTTATTTTGTTGTTATAACCCAAAATTATATATATGAAGCTACTTTTTAGATTCTAATAAAAAATTTTTTGCTAAATTTTAATATAAAATATATTTTTATCTAAAAACTATTTTTACCTTACTCTTATTCTAATTAACAAATAAAAAATTATTTTAATTGTAGTTATAGTAGCCTATGGCTACAAATATTTTAATTTTACTTATAATATTTTTTTAAAAAAATTAAAAAATTTAATATAGTATTTATTTATAAATCTATTATTAATAAAATTAAATTATAAATTATTAAAAAATTATAAATTATTAACTAAATTAATAAATTAAATTATTATCAAAACACAAATTTTCAAAAACAAAAAATTAATAAAAACTATAAAAACACACAAAAGCTACTAAGAAACCAAACTCAGAGCTTTAAAGAGAATTACAGAAATATTGGTTTTTTAAGAGACTTGAGTAAGAAAAACAGAAGCAGTAAAGAGATAGAAGAAGTCATAAAAAATTATCAATTTTTTTTGTGCTTTGCAAAATTTCAGAGAATCAGCCTTAACTTTAATTTGCAGTCTGATTTGGTAACACAAGAATCACAATATATAATAAAGAATAAACAAAGAAAATATGCCAAAAACTATATAACAAAAATAAATAAAGGTGGTAAACAATTACAACAAACAACAACAACAATTAACAACAATAGAAAAACAACAAATCACATAAATCAAAG